CCCCAAAACCCCAAAACCCCAAAACCCCTTTCAATCCATAAAAAATTGAAACTTTTTAAACAATGATACTGGATCCCCCAAAATAGTTAAGAATTATTTTATTAATTTTCTTTTTAAGCTGCTCAAGTGATTCTTTGGAGGTTTCTTTTGCTCCTTCTTCTCGCCTCTGCCCGACTTGTCTGATCCTGAATCTGTGTGCTCAGGCCTGGTCTCGTCTTGTTCAATACCACTAGAGTAGGATCCATCTCTAGCTTTTGTCTTCGCCTTGATGTCTCTCTTTTTCAAACTCGGTTGCGAGGTATGTAGCCCAGAGCTCTCGGTCTGGCTTCGTTTCTGACTCTTCTTCCGAACCTCTGATCTTCTCTGATGCTTTTGATGGTTATTCTTGATCTTTACAGTACATTTTGAATGAATAGGAGTTTTACCTGTTGGTATAGGCTTAATCTCTTGTTTAAATTTGGATATCTTCATTCTCTTTTTCATATCTCATGTGCTTTCTTCGATGGATTCATCAGAATTACCGACTTGAGCTTGAGCATCTAATCAGATTACTTCAAAAGAACCATCTTTACCAGTGTTCTGCATCTTAGCTTCTTCAGAGATCTCAAATTTCATCTTCTTTCCTTGAGATATAGAAGCGAGGAGGTTCTCCTCACTCCTAGTGATTTCAGGCACATAACTACAAATGCTATCTCTTGAGATGTACTCAAGATCATCTTGAGTGGTTAGGTCCTCTTGGTCTGAAGAATCCTGAACAGATAGCTTCACTGAATATTCATTGAATGCAGACTCTGCTTCACAGAGTTGCGACAGTAAATTTTCATCAAGTTTGGTTCTAAATTGTTCTTCAAAGTCTCTGAACCATCTTTTATGAAATACAAGCTCCTCAAATTTGATGATGTTGTTCAGGAAAAGAGTCAGCATTGGGGCATCAGGAAGTCCAGTATGTGTTCTTCCAAAGGAAGAACACACAACTATTGTTTCTGATTCTTCTGTATTCCTTGCTCATGAAGAATCATTGAAAGGGGAGGGTATCCTCAATAATTCGTAAGTCTTGGACTTCTTATCAGGAGTATCTCCTGACATTATCCTCCATGAATTCTGTTTGCTGAGTTCTTTTGTGTTGAGAGATTCCTTATTTTTAATAATCTTACACTTGGTTGCCTTCACAACTTCTCACTTCAGCTTTTGATATGCATAATTTGAGAGATATTTCTTAGCGAATTTTGAAATCAGCGGGATTTTTGTAAAGATAGGATCATACTTCTTCCCTATGGTAGTAAACTCTTCTGTCAGCTTAAACTCTTCTTTTTCAATGCTTAGCAACTTTCCAATAGATTCATCAACAGAGTAATTTCGTTGTGCGAAGTAGGATTTGAAATGAGTTTTGAGCGCCTCGTTTCTCTGTCAGATACAAATTCCACCGGTGAAGTAGGCTTGCTGATAAGCAATGGACCATTGCTTCTTTTCTCTGACTAGCTTGTCTACAAGATTTCCCATAAAGTCTTCTTTGAATTTGTAAGTCTTCAGCCTTTCAATCATTTGATCCACTACTTTGGCATCAGTTTCGAGTGGAAGATCGGACGCTTGTTTGTAGATATGATCGTCAAGGCCTTCAAATTGCCTTTCCAGAGATTTCTGTAAATGCCAAGGGTCGAACAACACTCTAGTCTTAGGATATACTTTCTGCATCACTTGAGACAAAAGCAGCTGTCTTTCAATAAGCATTGTTTTAGGAGTCTTTTCAAACATATAATCTTTGAATTTCTCAAGGAGAATTTTGTAAATTTTATCATCATCTTTTCTAAGAAGGCAGAATGCCACAATTTGATTGGTACCGTTACTAGTAATGACGTAGATCAAGAACATCGATAGACCAAATCGGCTCTTAAGGAACCTCCTGTTCACATAGACAATATCCCTGAAGGCAAGATATTTGTTCCTCATTTCTTCAGTAGACCACAAGAGAAGATCAAGTTTGCTACTATCTTTCTTATTATGTACGATTTCAAGGACATCATCTTCCATGGTCTTTCTCTTAAGCAGCTTTATCAGTTCAGATAGGTCCTCTTGACATGCAATCTCCTCCTCAGTGGAGTTCTTTGCATGCTTTGTTTGATCCTCATCTTCAGGCTTGTAGGTTTCATTAAGTAACTCATCCAGTTTAGTGATGCTTGAAACCTTCTTCGAATAATTCTTCATAAAAGATTTCATATTGACATCCTTCTTAACGATTGCTTTTCATGGATGGTTGTGAATAAATTGGCTCTGGTTATATTCTTGGTAAACTAACCAAAAAGCTTTGCTTTCATCAAATCTAAAGGTAACGCCAAATTTTCAGTAACCTTTTCCTTCAGCTCCTGGTTCACAACAGTAGATTCTCAGAGTCTTGCTGCCATCAAGGTTCTCTTTAGGTGATCTCTTCATTTTAAGGACGAATCCAAGCGGTTTGGCCCATTCATTATTGACATTTTCAAGCAGGTCTCTATAGTTGACAAATTTCTTAGAGAGCACCAGGAACTCAAGAGCGTCATAGTCAATTTTCTCAATAAGTTTGGAGTCATCAGGAACTTCAATCTGTCCGTTACTCTTTAGTTTCTTATTTGACCCTAAACTTTTGTATTTGAGTCCATCACCTTCAGGGTTGTTAGCATCTTTGAGAGACATTCTGAACTCCCTGAGCTGCATCTCTTCGTCGTACTTATCAATAGCTGCTTTTTTCAGCAGGATGCAGATCTTATCTTCATGGAAGAGGACATCATTCTTCTCAACGAGGCCTCCAGAGGTGAGTTTGAGGCAGTAATCATCCTTCTTAGACTCCAGGCCAAAGTTACTCAGGATGCAGACCAGGTTCTTCTCAAAAGGTCTCGCCAGGTCTACTATTTGGGCCTTTCAGATTGTGCCATAGTAGACATGCACTCGGCATAGGTTATTTCTTCTTGGATCACTCATATTTAGACTTAGTTAAGCCTTCTTGGTAGAATTAGGGCAATTCCAAAGAATGTGTAATTACTTAGCGAGGTCTGAGGAATTAAACCCAATTTCTATGGAATTTCAATATTCAATCTTTATTGGGACAAAAGGGGTTTTGGGGTTTTGGGGTTTTGGGG